GGTTGGTTGTACTGATATTACACTTCTGTACATTGCATGCAGATGTTGGTTGTTGTTATTGTTGTGTTCGATGGTTGCTGGATTTGAAGATATACCTGCGTTCTGGTTATAGATGCTTCTTGTTCATGGTAGTCGTAGATTTATAAAACTTTATTTATATACTTTTCAAACAGAAGATGTATTTCTTTATATCAACTTTGTAAATTCTATTCTTAGAAGCTTATGATTTGTACTACCAGTCCATGGAAAATGTATAAAACTTCAGATAATTTCTTTGTTTAAATTATTCTATTAATATGATTGAAATTGGATAGTTATTAGTTGACTTACCTAATGGGTTGGGTTAGGTGCTATCACGATCAGTAAATTTTGGATCGTGACACACATGTAATAATAAGTTATTACCAATCAAAATTTTTAACGCAGTAAATAGGGTAGGCTTTCATTAGTTTAAAAATCACTAGACAAGGAGTTATTAACTTTATGAAATAAAGTATATTTTCGGGTTATACTATCGATGATCGAAAACTTAGTAAAGTTCATAATCAACTTGCAAACAATACTCATTATTCTAATGTTATGATTTACACACAATTAGTTTTGGTTCTTATCTTATTAAGTGTGTTATTGAAGATTTTTTTTATAAAAAAATTAAATATTCTTGTGGATGTTTGGTGAGTTTTATTCTTTAAATTAGCGTGTCATTATCTCTAATTTAATATTGCAGTTACTCAATTAAATGAATCCCATAAAAGCATGCTTTTAACTACCACAATAATATAATAAATTAACCGAATAAAAGTTTTAACATTTATGTTGCAAGGTAAGAGGAGGAGGTCTTCCTAATGATGTTTTGTCAAAAAATATATTTTTTCTCATAAATTTTTTCAGTTTCTCAATATACAACTAACAATAATTTAATTTAATTTATTTGTGTAATTAGTAGTGTCACACCTCCTTTTTTACTACACCCCAAGAGGGTGTATAAAGAGAGTTTTTTCAATTTAAGCGACAATCGAAACAGGATGATTTATTTATTAAATTCAGAATCGCCACTTGGGATGATTAATGGTGTCCCAAGTCACCGGTTCAAATCCCGAATCGAGAAAAAGATTGACTCTGTATTACAGTCTGCGAACACAGAAGTCCGGGTAAGGAATTTTGTTAACTCGGGAGAAGGTGTTAGGCATTCCCGAGTTCCGTGGTTCTAGCTCGGTCACTCAACGGTTATAACTGGCCTATTATCTGATTTTAATACATGTTTTAGCCTATGGTTCAATTTTAACTTTTTAGCCGCTTTTATTTATTTATTTTTTGTAAGGAAGATTGCATTGCCATTTAAAATATGTCTTGAACCACGTCAAATAAATGCACCCGCAGTCCGCAACACATTTTATTTAACGTTGAGATTTGGATTTGGGTCACATAAATGCGCACCCGGGTTTAGGAAGGTAAGCTATTAAAATAACGCGCCTAAAGCAATTACGCGTTTGCAACTTTGCGAGGGCCATGAAAATTCGCTAAATGGAACGCCTCGATTCCTAAGGATAAAACATTAATCAAGTGAGGGCCGTGCAATTGAAATTTTGTTCGGCACGACACATCTCGATTCTAATTTTCAGGGGAAATCCAAAGCTAAACTTTGAAGCCATGAATTGTAACTTAGCTAATAGCTTGCCTCAAATTAACTAAAAGGGCTTACCAATTAAATACGGCTTAAGGAACTTGAACTATTTTTTAAGTTAAGATGAATCTAAATTGTGAATCCAAACGAGCTAAGGCATGAGGTCTACTTCAATTTTGTTTCACCACCTGGGCCTGGCCTGACGTGAGGCCCAACGGCTCACTAAAACCGTCAAGCTGTAAGGGTAAAATTCCACAACAAATTCCATTGAGCCCATGCATGAAGCTCAATTTTATGAAGCCACGCACAACCCGAGTATCAGGGGGGTTCGCGTGTCGAACCCGGAGAACAACAGAAAGCGATCAAACTTTTAAAAATGTAGTGACAAAAGGATTTGAACACCACAGATCCATAAACTTGATATTGAACAACCACCAATATTAAATCTATAATTACTAGGCATTGAAGCACCGATTGAAACTAAACTTAAATCCATTCCAAGCCATTTTTAAGTTAACCACATTCACATGATAATCATTTACATACCATAAATTGAAATCGTTGAAACATTAACTAGATAGTCATGCTTCCCCTTTTAAATGTTCATACTCAAATCGATTGACGAAGCATTCCAGTTTTTAAAACACTTCTAAATTAAATTCAATCACATACCCTTCAACAACACCTTAAACAACATCATTTCTGTTCTTAGCATCTTTAAGAGCAATTCAAATATGAGATTGGTATCAGTACATTATCATTTGGCTCATCTAAAGCCAAAGTGAGTTGAGGACGTATCTAAGTTGATTGAGTTCTCCCAAAACAACATTTCAGCAGTCTCAAGCCAAATACAACTATATGAATTCAATTACTCAGATAAAAATTAACTAGAACGAACCCATGACACTTCGTTTGGCCAAAAGCACAAAAAACACGAAGAAATGTAAGTGAAACACAACTAAATCTACTGCAATGCTTTTAGCTCTTATTTCCATCTTCAATATGAAACTTACATCAGGCAGAACTAAGAAAATGTACCTGGAATTCACAAGAAAAACAAAATCAGAGGATGAGTGAGTAGCAAGAAGCAGCAACAACAGTTAACTCTAAACTTCAACGATGGAGCAGTAAATTCACATAGCTTCCAACCCAGGAATGATGTGCAGTAATCCAAAAGAAAATAGTTTCAATCGGCAAGAGCCCAGCAGGCTTTAAACCAAACTCAATCCATTTCCATCACCAGGTGAATCAAAATTTGTTTCAGAAATTGAAGACCTTAAAAATCACATATGAAATGCAATGCAACAATAATTGTATTGGAATTTTCAGCCGTTTTTTCCCAGTACTTTTTATCTCTTCAGGTCTGCCTTGAATGGCAAGATAGGGATGCCTTTAAAGGCAAGACAATAAGGCAACTAATAGAGACTCAAATTTTCCTTTAGGCCTTTTTCATGTTTTTATTTTTGCCTAGATATCCCTATTTAGTTTTCAGATTTTCAAAACAATCCCAAAGTCAGCTTCCAAGAAGCTTCCATTTCAGTTATACAAAGATTTCCTAGACTAGACTACCCAAATTACCCCTTAATGATCCTGTTTTTACTGCTGAAACCTATGAGTATGGGTCATGGGTCAATGACCCATATGTTCAGGTCCAAATGAACAAATCAAATGAACCTCAAGCCCAAACCAAAAGGAGTCAGAAACCCAACCAAATTGCTGATAAGCAGAAAAAGGAAATAATTGTGTGATTTCAGAAAACCTAAGCTACGATTGATGATTTTTCTTAAGCTAAAAGTACTAAATTGAAATTAACACTAAATTACCAATTTATTAACAATCTAACCTAAGCTATTTTATCAGAAAGGTTATCATAAAATCAAGAGAAACATAGGATATTGGTTAATATTTTAAAAGAAAACTGAGGAAATGAAACGAAAATAAATACACAACCACACACGAAAACAAACTGCCTCAACGGAAAAACTAGGCTTGAAGCTGATTTTAGTCGGGGCATGCTAGATAAGAAAAGGAGAAGAAGAGGCGGGGCAGAAAGATGAACAAAAAGGCGAAGAAAGATAAGAAACTNTTGTTAGGACCATTATATAATAAGTGAGGGCCCAGTTCCTAGCCGTTGATTTGGGCAAGATCAAGGGCTCAGACGAATCTCAAAGAAACGAGGTCGTTTGGTGGGGTGTGGCGACGGACCAGGTAGGGAGTGGGTTTTGGGCCGAATTGACTGGGTCTTGGAAAAAGAAAAAATGACTTGGGCCTGTGTAAATTTAATTAAAGGCAGCCCAAACTATCAACCTTCTTTCAAAAGTCTTTTTAATTCCCTTTTTTTTGTTTTTTCTTTTCCTTTTTAATTAATTAAAACTTAAATTAAAAACTCCTAAAAAGTAATTAATTTACTAAATTAAGCTAAAAACCTAACATAATATTTACAAGAATTAATTACTTCTAAATTAAAGGGGAAAATTATTGATTTATAGTTAAAAGGCTAGAAATGCAAAAATAAACCAATTTTGTGATTTCCTGTTTTTAATAAAGCACCTAATTTAATAATTAACCTCAAAATGTGAAATAGATCCTAAATGCAAATGCAATGTATTTTTGTGTTTTTCATTAATTAAATAAAATAAACATGCACAAACAAATGCATACAATTGACAAAAATGCCACAAAAATTCACAAAATTGCAAACAATGAAAAAATTTGTTTTGTTTTGAATTTGTGGGAGTAATTCATATAGGGCAAAAATCACGAGCTCACAAGTAGTTTTAAGAATCTATGCAACTTTTATTTTAATTTTAGTTTTTGTTTTTCTTAGTCTTGGACTTTTATAATTAGATAAAACTTAAGTAATATTCATTGATAATATACGGTTAACTATATATCACATAGATTATTTACTACAAATAAACTAAATTTATAAATTAAACCAAATGCATTTTATTTGTTGACGATTTTCTTTCTCATAAAAAGAGTAATATATCTACATTTGTTATTAACTAGATAATTTTTTTAAAGGTTTTATTGATGTTTCTTAAACCCCGCGCAAAGCGCGGGTAAAGTTACTAGTTTAATAATAAAGAAGGACAAGATGAGAGAAAAATATAAGATATCAATACGATCACACCAAATCAATTATTACATAAAGTGACATATTTAACGATGGATTTAAGATACAATATAATAAATTTAAGTAACAATCAACATAAATATTGATAAATTTTTATCATTCTTTTGTGAAGGGACTAGCAAGAAACAATGCCAAAGTATTACCAAAAAAAAAAAAAAACAATGCCAAAGTGGCAATTGGAATGCATCTCAAAACGACATCGTTTGTTCCCCTCCTCCCCCCTGTAGTCCTGTACGAAGAACAGCAATGAGGCTTAAAACTGTTGGGAATGCACTACTCGGCACTTGCTTTCGTTGTCGGAGCAGTGAGTTTTTGAGGCTAAAATGCTGACGGAAAAAAATCAAACAGTGATAATTATCGGTTCTGCAATTCCTGAATGAAGAAAGGAATGAAGATAGTGACATACAATGTGAACGGCTTAAGGCCACGCATACAACAATACGGTTCACTTCCGAAACTTCTAGATTCACTCGACGCTGATATCATCTGCTTTCAGGAAACTAAATTGTCCAAACATGATTTACGAGCCGATTTGGTTCGTGCTGAGGGTTACGAGTCTTTCTTCTCTTGCACTCGTACTTCTGATCGTGGCCGCTCCGCTGGCTATTCCGGTAATTTTTAATGTTTTAGCTCTACTTTTTTAAATTTTTATTTTATGTTAGGTTGCATGTTTGCAAGAGTTTATTTTGAGTGAGTTTAAATTGTATGGGCTCACAGTGTAAAACTCAGGAATTGCAAGTAACTCTATGTAATGCTACCTCAGTTCTAGTTATATAAGCTTGTCATTAAGGATAAAATGGAAAGTTTAAAGGAGGTCATTTTTTTGAAAATAGACTAAAAAGAAATAGGCTTACATAAATTGAAACAAAGGGAGTAACATCGATGGGTAATTTTTAAATAAATGTCAAGTAACTTCATAAAAAAGGGTAAGTTACACGGATGGTGTAAAAATTTGTTCATGTATATAACTTTTGGTTAGGTATTGTGTGTCAGTGTAAGAGTAAGTGTGAGTTTTGGATAGGTTTTGAAATTCCTAATTTACTGTTTATTTAGTATTTTGGAATGAAATATGCCTGAATAGAGGGAATTTATTGAGTATTGGAATGAAATATGCTCAAATAGATAGAGGATTAGTTGGCTGATTGATATGTAGTGTAAATTTTCATTAGCTCATTTTGTGTCAATCTCAGCAGCTGAGTTCTTTTTTCAATGAAATATTAGCTGAATTGATCTTCATTGATCGGGAAAGTTTGGCTAGCTCAATTGTAGGGTGTGTATGGTGTGGAAAGAGCAATTCGTCGAAATTCCTTGACTTTGGATATCATGGTTGGATCATTTTTGAGTGTTTGGCTTGTAAAAAAATAGGCCGAGTATAGTAATAGTACAAGGTGGTGGATAGGGTATGCCTATAGTGTTTTTGTCATATTCATGAGTATTAAAGATTGACAACAATGTCTAACTTTTGGTTGAAGCAAGTGATACAAAGTAAGAGTTAGAAATTTTGTAAAGGAAAAATGACTTTTTGCCTCTTTAAGGGACAAAAATCGTTTCCTCATTTTTGATATTTCTTCCAGCAATTGGAAGTAACCTAACACTGTAAAGTGATAAACATCTAAGAAAACATTTTCATCATAGCAACAACACCCTACATCTCTCTTTATCTTCATAATCTTGAAGTTGATGAACATAGAGAGTAGTCTTGTGGATTGCTAACAATAAAGTCTTGCAGGCTAAGCTATTCTTGGTGGAGCTTGTTTAGGAATTTGTTTTTGTGTATAAGTTTGAACGTTTCTTTTTCGACTTGGTATATCTGAAGTAGGACAGTGCTAACTAATGCAAAAAGTTTCTGTAGGAGTGGAATGGCCTTAGTAAATTCTTCTTTTATTTTTTCATGTATGCATATATAGGCATGCATTACGGAGACAAATAATTGAATTTATGTCTACTTGTCCAGGTGTTGCAACATTTTGCCGTGTAAAATCTGCATTCTTGAGCAATGAGGTAGCTCTGCCAATTGCTGCAGAAGAGGGCTTCACTGNTTATTCAATATATATGGGCCCAGAGCTGTTCAGGATGACTCTGAGAGAATCCAATTTAAGCTGACGTTTTTCAAGATGTTAGAGGTAATCAATTCTCAATTTGGTTGTAAAATTATGAGAACCTGAGAAATGACATTTTCTTTTCTCCTATTTTCAATTACTAAATTAGCTTTTGCTCTATTGATGAGGAAATCTTGCACCAAATATATCAATAACTCCTGTAATCTTAGCATTAAGTTTGTTTTTTTTTTTCTTGGTGATATGTCCACTACAGAGGTTCATTTTGAAATTTTAATCGCACCAAATCTTAGCACAAATTATTGAAATTGGGATCTAAGTAGAGCAGAATGGATATAGAGGATTCATATAGCCGCCCCAACTAATTTGGGATCAAGGAGTAGTTGATCTAAATGTTTAACATAAATTTCTATCAGTGTGTAGTGGGTGGAAAGGTTTAGAAAATGTCAAATTTCTATTTGGAAAATGTTGTGAGAATCCCATGTTACTTTCCTCATTGTTGTCATTTATCTAAGGCTCCAAGTCTCGACCAGGCCCTGACTGCGGCTTTATAAAGCAACTCTGATATGTGGGATGCGAATTTACAATTCTTTAGCTGGGAGAAGTTTGTTCTTAAACCCTTGGAATTAAGTTTTTGTGGGTTGTAATGGCTGTAGTATGTGATGAAGGATGTTAGGAATCTGAGGAGCTGGTATCATACTTCAATTTTTGCTTGCCACATGGTGCATTAGTTTTGTGTACTGGTCCAATAAATACTGAAAAGGAGGTGATTATAGCAGAAATTAGGAAGATTGCCACTAGGATTGTGGTATGGCTAATCCTGCAAGGACGAGTTGGTCATTCTTCTAGAGATTTTATCATTTTTGTAGCATATTGAGCCTTGTTTGGTGATAGAAAGGTGACTATGATTGGTGTCGTCCCTTGGTGTGTTTATTTACTTAAAGTTTCTCCTTTTCTTATTAAAGATAAGGAAATGAAAAAACAAAGCTACCCATTTAAAAAGAAAAGGGACAAGGAAGTGAAAGCATCAATTTGATTGATGTTTTAACTAATCGTATTACATACTTTACGTCCAATTATTTATGGTTGTTTAATGCTATTTTGGTATCTTGCAATTCTCTATCTATTTTGTTAGCTAATTATTTTTGTCTCCATGTGACCTATAGGACACGGGTTCGATCCATGAAATATGTCGTGATGCTTGCGTAGGGTGCAACCCTTCCCCCGTCCCTGCGTGAACGCGAGATGCTTCGCACACCGTGCTGCCCTTTATATATCTCTGCTATCTTTTCCAGGATATTATGTCTATTAGCATATTTCTTCATTGACTGCAGAAATAGCCTGTACTTACAGTGTAAACATGCATTTCTGAACTTCACACTCTTTGCTTCATACTAGTCATTTTTATGTAGAGAAGATGGGAGTGTCTCCTGCATCAAGGAAGGAGGATTATCATCGTAGGGGATCTCAATATTGCTCCTGCTGCCATAGATCGCTGTGACGCAGAACCTGATTTTGAGAAGAACGAGTAAGCTGCTTCCTGAAATATTGTTTATGCAAGATATAGATTAATTCTTTGGTCTCGTTTTATTAAGATAACAATTCTACTTGGTAACTGGTGAATTTCCACTGTGTTGCAGGTTCAGGAAATGGTTTAGATCGTTATTATTGCAGAATGGAGGGCGTCTCCTTGATGTTTTTAGAGCAAAACATCCTGATAGGTTTCTCTCTTTCTACTTATGTTTACTTTTGTAATTTTCTAATTTCTCTACACAGCTAAGGGGAAAAGGGAGGAAATCCTCTTGACATGCGAACATGTAGTGCTTCTAAAGGTCATTTTTTAAGTCCTTCTCCGTACGTTTTTCCACAAAAGCACATACTGGCTGAAACTTTCATTGTTTTCAAAGTCAAATAAGAAATGAGATAGAGTAGTCATCCTCATCTCCCTTAACTATTGTATTTCTTGTCATCTTGTTGTATGAACCTTTTGTCATCTTACTTCGTCTTGTATTTTGCATTTTTGCTACAGAAAAGGAGCCTATACTTGCTGGTCACAGAGTACAGGAGCCGAGGAATTTAATTTTGGTTCTAGGATTGACCATATACTTAGTGCAGGATCATGCTTGCATGGTGAGGAAAATCAAGAAGGGCATGACTTTGGTACTTGCCATGTTGCAGAGTGTGACATATTGATGCAATTTCAAAGGTGGAAACCTGGAAATACGCCAAGGTAAACTTTAGTTTGTAGTATGGAAAATTACATGATCGCATTATGGATGAATGACCTTCGAAGCATGAACTCTCAAAAACAAGTGAGGATAGTTCTGAAAGAGATAAGAATGTAACTTAGCTGCTCGATATCAGTAGACATTAGTTTGTTCTGATTACCTGTGTGCTTTGCTGCGATGAAAAGATTTGTGTTACGACTTCGTAAATCTGTCATGTTACAGTTTCTGTTAATCTGTTATAAGGATATACAACAACAACAACAAAAAACCTAGAAGTAAAAATTTATAAGGATATAGCAAGAAAAAATTCCAACTTGTATTCTTAGTTGTGAGAAAGCACGGGAGAAAAATATATTATTGATATTCTATTCAATTATAATACAATGAGCCCTATTTATACAATGCATATCCTACTCCTACTATATGAACTAGGACTAATTCATGTTATTTACATAACTATCTAACACTGCCCCTCAAGTCGGTGCCTACAAGTCATATGTACCGAGCTTGTTACGTATGTAACTAATACAAGGACTTGTGAGGGACTAGGTGAGAATATCTGCAAGCTGATCGTCCGGCTTCACAAACTTTGTCATAATATCTCCTGAGAGTATCTTTTCTCTAAAGAATTGACAGTCAATCTCAATGTATTTAGTTCTCTCACGGAATACTGGATTTGATGCAATATGAAGGGTATCTTGCTTATCACACCCAAATTCCATCTTGTTGATCTTACCAAATTTCAACTCTTTGAGCAACTGTTTGATCCAAACTAGCTCACATGTTTCCATAGCCATTGCTCGATACTCTGCTTCTACACTAGATCGAACAATCACATTCTGTTTTTTGCTCTTCCAAGATACCAAATTACCTCATACTAAAACACAATATCCAGACATAGAACGTCTATCAGAAGGTGATCCTGCCCAATCAACATCTGAGTATCCAACGATCTGCTCATGGCCTCGATCCTCAAACAATATCCTTTGCTCGGAGCTGATTTTATATAATGAAGAATACGGACAACTGCATCCCAATGGCTAGCACAGGGATAATCCATAAACTGACTCACAACACTCACAAGAAAGGAAATGTCAGGTCTGGTGACTGTGAGGTAATTTAGTTTATCAACTAGCCACCTATATCTTGTAGGATCACTAAGCGGCTCCTCATGTCCGGACAGAAATTTAGAATTCGAATCCATAGGAGTGTCAACAGGTCTACAACCTGTCATTCTTGTCTCCTCAAGAATGCCCAAGACATACTTCTATTGTACAATACCTAAGCTAGATTGAGCGACCTCAATACCTAGAAAAACTTTAATCTGCCTAGATCCTTAGTCTGAAAGTGATAAAGAATGATGGTTTTTCAACCTACTAATACCATCATGATCACTGCCAATAACAACAATATCGTCAACATAAACCACCAGATAAATACAGAGTTTTGAAGCAGAATGCCGATAAAATACATAGTGATCAACTTTACTACGAGTCATGCTCAACTCCTGAATTACTGTGCTGAACTTACCAGACCAGGCTCGAGGAGACTACTTTAGAGCATAGAGGGACCGGCACAACCGATATACCCGACCACTAGACTCCCCTAGAAACAAAACCAGGTGGTTGCTCCATATAAACCTCATCCTCAAGATCACCGTTAAAGGTGGAAAAATGGTTAAAAGAAAACAGTTATCCACCCATATTATCCATCGAAAAATGGGTTGGATAATGAACCATTTAAAAACGGGTCGAATATGGATAAAGAACCATATTATCCACTTAGAAAATGATTAACCAAATGGATAACCAATGGATAACTAATGTGTTTAGCTTTTACATTTGTAAAGCCTCAAATTGGAGTTCCTCAAGTTTGGAAGACAAGGAATTCTGTCATAAGTGATCATATTTAAGAAGCCATGGATAATATGGATATCCATATTATCCGCCGGATAAATTCGTTTTATATCCGTCTCAAATGCGGATCGGGTCAGATAATTTATCCGTTTTTTAAATTACTCGTTTTGACCCGCTCATATCCGACCCGACCCGCCCGTTTGCCACCCCTAATCACCGCGAAGAAAAGCATTGTTAATGTCCAACTAATAAAGAGGCAAATGGCGAACGACATCCATGGATAGCCATGGGAGAGAAAGTGTCACTATAATCGAGCCCAAATATTTGAGTATACCCTTTGGCAACAAGACGAGCCGTAAGTCGATCAACCTGGTCATCTGGACCAACTTTGACTGCATACACCCAGCGACAACCAACAGTTGATTTACCTGAAGGAAGAGGAACAAGCTCCCAAGTACCACTCGTATGTAAAGCAGACATCTCGTCAATCATAACCCTGCCGCCATCTTAGATGAGACAATGCTTCACCTGTAGGCTTAGGGATGGAAACAGAGGAAAAAAGATGATACAAGCGCATAGTGGGGTGATGAAAAAATGGTAACTTATACCGACATAGTGGAAATTAAGATTAAGTATGGACCATATACCTTTTCGAAGTGCAATCAGTTGACTAAGAGGCGACAAGTCCGCAATAGGAGTAGGGTCAGGTGCATGACGTGAATAAGCTGGATCTGATGCTGGGCGTGGACGACGATGACAAGTTAGGAGTAGTGGAGCTGTAGGTGGTGGAGCTGAAACTGGAGCTGTAGGTGGTGGAGCTGGAACTGGAGCTGTAGGTGGTGGAGCTGGAACTGGAGCTGTAGGTGGTGGAGTTGGGACTAGAGCTGTAGGTGGTGTAACTGGAGTTGTGGAGGAAGATGAATGGGAAATGAATCTCCAAAATATGGAACTAGTAGCACCTTAGAAATATCTAAGCAATCACCTGAACTTGTGAAGTATGACTGGGTTTCAAAGAGGTAACAGTAGCAGGCATAAGGTACCGCTGGAGGTCAGGTGAATAACATCGATATCCCTTTTGCGTTCTCGAGTAACCTAGAAATACACACTTAAGAGCACGAGGAACTAACTTATCTTTTCCTGGAGTAAGGATATGAACAAAACACATGCTCTCAAAGGTGGAAGAGAGAATAAAGGTGAGTAGGGAAACAAGACAGAGAATGAAACTTGATTCTGGATAGCTGAGGCTGGCATAAGATTAATAAAATAACAGGATGTGAGAACTGCATCCCCCCAAAAACGCAACGGAAGATGAGATTGTATGAGTAGGGTACGAGCAATTTCAATGAGATGTCTATTCTTTCTTTCAGCTACCCCATCCTGTTGAGATGTGTACGAACAAGATGTTTGATGAATAATTCCAATGAGAGTTCATAAACTGCTGAAATGGGGAAGATAAATACTCTAGGGCATTATCACTACGAAATGTTCGGATTGAAACCCCAAATTGATTTTGAATTTCGACGTAGAAGGTCTGGAAAATAGAAAACAACTCAGATCTATTTTTCCTAAAAAATATCCAAGTGCACCTGGAATAATCATCAATGAAACTGACAAAGTTGAGCGGAATCCCAAGGTAGAACTAACCCGACTAGGAACCCAAACATCTGAATGGACTAAAGTGAACGGTGACTCTGCTTGATTATCAGGACGCCGAGGGAAATGAGAGCAAGTATGCTTACCGAGCTGACATGACTCACACTCTAGAGTGGACAAGTGAGATAATCCAGGTACCATTTTCTGAAGTTTTGACAAACTCCCAATCTTTTATGTTATAAATCTGATTAATCAGTAACATGACAAGTTATTGAAGAAAGACAAGATGTGAGTTCACGTGATTTAGCAAGGATAAAGTAATAAAGTCCATTTGATTCACGCCTGGTACCAATGATCCGCCCCGTACTGCGTTTCGGTACAAAAACAAGGCCATTAAGAAATAAAACAAAGCATTTAAGTGATTTGGCTAAGCGACTAATGACTATGAGATTAAAAGGACTGCTGGGAATATAAAGAACTGAATCTAAAGGTAAGGAAGGAAATGGACTTGCTTGACCTATTCCAGTTGCCATGGTTTGAGATCCATTGGCCATTGTGACTGATGGAAGAGATTGAGAATATGAAATAGTAGTGAAAAGGGATTGGTTACCAGAAATGTGATCAGATGCACCTGAATCAATGAGCCAAGAATCGGAGGATGAAGAGGAGACACAAGTCACGCTATTACCTGGTTGAACAATGGAAGCTATCTCTGAAGATGTCTGTTTATATGTTTTGTACCGAAGAAACTCAATATAATCTGGTAGAGAAACCATCCAACTATTCATAGTATTGTATCCCATTTCGCTACAACCAATTTCTCAAATTCTTGACTAATACTTGTATGGTTAACCTTAGAATGCCAAATCAGAACAAGTTAGTTAAGCTGGAAACTTCCTTTTTTTTCTTAGTTAGACGGAGTTGGAAAGGGAAAGACGACCTCTGGGAACCAAGTTCTTGCCTTGAAATAGTGAAAAACGGAAGAAATATCTGAGAAAACACTGTTCACAACAGAAAAACAATGTTCACGCCGGAAAAAGTGCACTGTTTATACCGGGAAAAAATAAAGTTGTCGGAACTTGGTTTAAATTGGATGGGTTGGCTCGGAATTACTGTACGAGTCAGCTGTCCTGAAGGACCTCTGTCAGAATCTGATTGTAAGAGGGCTCACGCGCCCGGCGCATGCACAAATCTCGCCGGAGAAATTTCTGTCTGTCCGGCGTGTGAGGGCACGCGGGGCATATTTTTCTGGTGAGGTTTGGTAGTGGGACTACGGCGGATCTTATGGTGGTGTTGGTTTGTGCACAACACTGATAAATAGTGATTTTGACGCAAACAACCACCGGAAAAGTTGCACGGCAAACTGTTTCTTCCCGGAATCACTGTTAGATTGCACATCGAGTATTTTCTCACTATTGGTCTGATACCGTGTGAGAAAGCACGGGAGAAAAATATATTATTGATATTCTATTCAATTATAATATAATGAGCCCTATTTATATTTTATACAATACATGTCCTACTCGTATTCTATGTGGGGACTAGGACTAATTCACGTTATTTACATAACTATCTAACATTAGTTATATTCTGCGGCTCTTGTTTCCAGTGAAAAATATATAGTGCAAAAGATTGTCTCCAGAAGTAGCTGAGTAGTTAAGCACATACATGATTGGCCAACTTTTCTGATTGGATATTCAATTGTTCATTATCGTTTGAGTTAACAATTTTTATCACTCATTGACCCATAACATGGTGATGGAGGATCTCACAATCGTACTTGAGAATCTACATGCTACAGGTGGAAAGGAGGGAGGAGCATCAAATTAGAAGGTTCTGATCATGTTCCAGTTTACACGAGTTTAGTAGAAATCCCTGAAGTATTGGAGCATAGCACCCCATCATTGTCTACCAGATACCATCCCCAGGTCTGCGGGAGTCAGCAAACTCTTGGTGAGAGTCTCTAGTCAAGTTGCATGAATATTAATTTTATTGGACGCTGTTGCGATTGTTTTACTCGAACATTTTTGATATAGATGTCTGCTCACACATTTGACAGGCACTACTTTAAATCAAGTTTATTGCTGTTTTTGCAAAAATTTATTCCAGAATGTGATAGAAATCAGCATGTGTAATATGCAAATAAGACCTATGGGTTTATTATTGACGGGAGTAGGTAGTATTAGAGCAGCAAACAATCTAGGGCGTTCATATTCATGCTAGTTACCTAGTGCATCAAATCAATCTCTTATTTTTTTTCTCGAAGTTCAGATCAACTCAAAACAAAGTGGAAAAGAAATTAATCTAGCATAGCTGTTAGTCTCAATTCTGTTTGTCTCTAGGAAGGGAGGTCATCATAATGTCTAAAAGTAGAAGAATGTCGCAGAAATTTTACTTCAGGAAAAAATCAATCTAACCTATATCTTTCATACATTTTCCGAAAGGCTTTTAAACAGTGAGTAGTCAGTTACTGAACCAAAAGGATCATGCTTGATTGCCAATAAAGTGATATGAGGAGTTTCTAATGTTTACATTTCTGTGTTCCATATTCATGGTTTGTCAAGTATAACTAGTTGTGTTTATCCATCAGTCAAGGTGTCCTTTTAATCGTCATGTATGTTTTGAGTTACTGTGTTAAGTTTGGTTTTTGTAAATATAGTGCGACATTGCGTTCAGTTTATCATATTATAGTTTGTTGCTGAAATTTCCTGCTCAAAAGTGCAGTGTCTATGTTCGCAAGAAGGCAATCAATTGAGCAAGTTATTTCAGAGGAAAGGATAAGCCCTCTGTTCCCAAGTCATGAAAAGTTTACCTCAACTCCAGAGAACTACGATAGTAAAGCTTCGCAAATTAGGGTGCTTGGTTCTCGAAGTAACGCTAATATTCTGCCGAGCATTGTAGCCAAGAAGAAATCAAGGCATGGTCAGGGGTCTCAGCTCACACTCAACTCGTTCTTCCAGAAATGCACTAGAAGTGAGACTTCTGACAGTAGCTCTGCTGATCTTAAAATTTGTCAGACAGACATTTCTTACTCTCAGATTGACCTCAATGGAGTTCCTTCTGCTGATGATGAAAGTGGTCCTTCAAAGGACTGCAGATTAAATGCTATTGACAATATTCAAAATGAAGGCCAGTTAGATGCATGCGATTCAGATAAAGAGAAGAGGAAAGTGGCATTACAGGAGTGGCAAAGGATTCAGCAATTAATGCAGAATACTGTACCTCTTTGTAAGGGCCATCGAGAACCTTGTGTTCCACGGATTGTTAAAAAAGCAGGCCCCAATTTGGGCCGCAGATTTTATGTCTGTGCTCGAGCTGAGGTATGTCTCATTGTTAGTGGATAGAGTTAAATACTTTGTAAGCAATGGCGTAAGATTTTTGTAGATATTAATATGAGTTTAAAAGAATGAAGAAAACTCGTCTCAATTGTGGAAAATGGGTGTCCCCCTCTATCTACCTTATACACTTCAATATTAATTTTATAACAGAATATAGATGTAAGGGCTGGACCCAAGTTTTCCTCTTNCATAGAAAAATTCCATTTGATTTCGAGAAATTTGATACCTGGTACCATGCAACATAATATTTCACCTTACGGTCAAATTTCTACTTGGCTTTTTGGTTTTTCCGGTTAGCTAATATATAAGTTTATCTAGAACTTTCTCATCGTTCCTTTTTTTGTATTTGGGAGGAGGGGTGGAGGCTGAGAAGTTTTTTGGTGACCTCGAAAAAGTAGTGTTACATAGACCTATAATATATTTTTCATAGCACTAGTTACCTGCTAACATATCAAATTGGGTAGCACTTCTTTGGAGAGATATTAAAAGCTTTTAGATGAATTCTATTATCTTGTCAAATATGGCTGATGAGAAGAAAACAAGATTTTGGCAGGTTAAATGGCTAGAACAAATCCCTGATATGCATACACGAGTAGTCAATAAGAGGCTACTGTGGCAGATTGCGAGAAATGGAGATAGCTAGAATATTAATTTCAGCTGGAACTCTTATGATCCAGAAGTAGAAAAAGATAGCTTGATATTTTCCCAAAAAAAGAAGAAAAAAACTGGAAATTCTCTGAATTAGGTTCTGAATTAGATTCTCTATTCTGGAAAGCAACTAAAGATTGGAAGTTCACAGTCAAGTCCTGCAATGATTGACTGCATAACACAACATTAGGAGTGATACAATGGCCATGAAAAATAATTTAGAGAATTAAATCTCCTCCAAAAGTGGTTTGTTTAACATGAATTGCAGCTTATGAGGCGCTTATACTGTTGGATAAGTTACAAAGATGAGAGATCTGTATCTGCAACAGATGTTATATGTGCATAAGTTTCTGTGAAGCTGCTTCTCATCTTCATTTGCATTTTAACTGTAACTGGCTGTTGTGTTTATTCCAAAATCTTCTTGGGTTATAATCTGTACTGCCTTTAAAAGGTTTTGGGAATACAATCCCTTTATGCATTCTTTGGAATGTATGAGAAGAACGAAATCTTTGATGTTTTGGTGAAAAGTGTAAACTGTACGCAGCATAAAATATGCACATTTGCAATCTTTGGTTTATGGGCTATGCTGTAAATATATTGTACATAATCTGGATACTCTTATGAACTTTTAGGACTCTTTATCTAGCTAAAGGAGTTTCAGTAATACACACACACACACACATTGCACTCTCTGGGTAATATTGAATAAAGTTACTTCTTTACTTGGTAAAAAGAAATGGATGAGGGTTTTTCTCGGTATGGTAATCTTAGTGTTTTCTGTCTGTATCGTGGAGCTAACTGTTAGACTTGCACTCTTTTCTAATCTGTTTAGCTTGATATATCTTTTGATTTAGCAACTGCATTTTTATGACCTGAACTCATTATTCTCTTTGGCAATAGGAAAGAGTGGTAGTCTCACCAAATCTTTTCATGCAGCAGCCCTAGGAATGGTGGAATTTTGTCTAATAAGAGATTTGTACATTAAACCATCTGTCTTCCAGAATTTTCTTACAAAACCGACATTCTCTATTCAGGGACCTGCATCAAATCCTGAAGCAAATTGTGGTTATTTCAAATGGGCTGCTGCTTCAAAATGTAAGGAGAAAGGAAAGTGAAGTCTCTGCAGCATATATTCGTACGTGATAAACAACTAAAGTTCTGCATAATGAGAGAGTTCAGGTTAGTTAAAATTGCGGATCTTGCTCAGTGGGAGCATGTGGTATCTCCACGTTCTTGTATTTTTCTCGGCAGTCAACCTTCTATTTCCCCACAGTACTGACGTGGGAATTTATAGCAGTTTATTTACGTGATAAACTGCAAAATCAATAGATTCAGTGTTCTGTCTTGTCGTTAGCTAAAATTATCTGGTAGCTGTATAATTTTAGATGTTTACTTGGGCGGGACCTTTGGCATGAGGAATATCATTCTTTTCTTCTTCCCATTGTATTCTTTGGCATAATTACTTGGAAATTAGTCATCTTCCTTCACAACCTTACATCGTTCCACATGCGGTGGTATGAATTTCATGGATAAAGTTTGTTTCTATTGAAACCTTCTACCACTATTTTAAGTCCCTGTTATTATTAGCTTTCAATTTAAAGAAGGTGCATGTTGGCTATACATATTATCATACCTAGATTTTTGAAGGAAATATTAGTAAACTGGGGACTTTATTTTAAAATTAATCAAAACATTGTGCCTTTGAATTTTCTCATAATCTTTGTGATCAGTGCGCCTGAGATAATATGTGGTGGGAGATGGAGAAAAGTGTTGGTGGTGGTAGTGACGAAGGAGGTGGCAGAGGCGAAGCTCAAGGGAGGAAATACGAGGAGAGTGGAAGGCAAGTGGTTGTTTTCTTCTACTTCTACGTTTTTTCCTTTATTTCTTTCTAATAAAAAAAAGAACTAAGTTTTTATGGTGAGAAGAACATTTCCTTTTGACCAAAAAAAAGAAGAACATTTCCTTGAGATCTGTAAATTGGTAGTATTTGCCGTAATGGCGCTACTGCCATTCTTTCTTGTTCTACTGATTTATTTCTCAGTCTGGTTGTTCCTGGAGTAGGAACGGACACCAAATTAGCACTAGCTAGGGCTGTTAGAAGCAAACAAAAAGGAATTAACACAAACTGCCAAGAGATGGGAATAGAGGACTTCGGTTGATCTTTATTACACTTGTTACAATCATTATTTGTATACTGATTTTGAATTGATGAAAACAAAAGGTTTCTTTTGTTGGCCATCTAAGGAAGGTGCTTACTTTTTCACTATGAAATTTTCATAATACAGGACGATATAATAATGTGTTGCCAATGTGCAATTTCTCTAGGAATTTGATGTAGATAACCTTGAATTTGATACATGCTGGCCATGATATTGATGGACATCAAGATCTGCTTTTGCGTGTGAGACTCCCAAGTCATATTTGAAAATAGTCTCTCTACTTTCACAAGGTAGGGGTAAGGTCTATATACACACTACCTTCCCCAGACCCCACTTGTGGGATTACACTAGGTTTGTTGTTGTTGTTGTTGTACTCCAAGTCATATTTGGTTTTTTGGTTCAAAGTGTTCATTCCGGAAACACGAAGGGAATGCACATGAGATAGGCGTAGCAGAAAAGAAAGGGTCAATGACAAGAGGAAGGCGGAGGAAAAAAGATGAGGTGTTGGGTGTTGGAAATGTTTTACTCAAACACCTCTGTAATTGCTTTGCATTATTTAAAAAAAAAAAAAGGCAGCCTGGTGTACTAAGCTCCCGCTATGCGCGGGGTTCAGGAAAGGGCCAGACTACAAGGGTCTATTGTACGCATCCTAACCTTACATTTCAAGATGCTATTTTCACGGCTCGAACCCGTGACCTCCTGGTCGCATTATATATGTAAGTTTTGTTTTATTGCTGGATGAATAAAGAAAAGAATCGAAGAAAGGATATTTAGAGGGTCATACTTACCAATAGATGGATTAAGCAAAGAATTTGCTTGGTAATGTAATTGTCTTGTATCTAAAGATGTTTCATGGGAAGATTTCAGAGGGGTTGAATATTTTGAAAATTGTGAATTGTGAAAGCAACCTGGGGATTTTAGTTTTTTTGATAAATGTACAACATGGCACTGCTTTTTGCTGGTCACTTGAAAAGTTTCATTTGTCATGTACAACATTGCTGGTGATTTTATGAGTCTATTCAAAATTAAAACCCATACATTCAAAATAAACGGATAAGCAATTAGATTACAGCAGTAAGTTGTATATTTAGCTCATACTAAACGATCTGATGAATAAACGAAAGTTATCTATTTTAGTGGTCAAAATCTAACTTGGACCAGAGATCACTAATTTTGGACGTCATGTCAAGTTCATATGTCAAATTACTTGAATTTCATTCAGTTGCAACTGAATCTGAGGTAACAGATGTATTGCGGAAGAGGAGAATCGAAGAGAGAAATATTTGTGTATTAGGTATCCGAGTCATGAACTGTACGTGTATTAATTTATAGCATCTAACACACCCCTAACTAGCTATTAACTATGGTAAGATGTAACTTCAGTCAAGTAACTATGGTAGACACGATGTTCTCCTTTGCAACCCCCCGCCCCTCTCCCCCGGTCCTCAGGCTGGGGGAGATGAAGGTGTTCTTCATCGCTAGCTTGAAAAGTAGAAAAGAATGTTGAGATTTGCTACGTCCTTTGGTTAAAATATCAGCCTGCTACTATGTGGATGTTAAGTAATTATTCTTTTAGGTATCTGTTATTTTTTACCAATAACATCTATCACGTAACTCTAACCACCAAAGTTTAAGGCAGATGGAACGTAGCATAACTTAGAATAGTCATCAAGAGTTCTAATAAATTTCTACATATAAATTTGAAATTTCTAAATATAAATTAAAAATTTAAATACAGATAAGGTTCCAGCCAAATCTATTGGTCTGTCGAACCCAGCGTCATCTCTATATCTGCTCCTAGTGGTCATTTCTTTCAATTGTAAGTAAAAAACATCACATCCTAGATTATTTGACCCTATTTTCTTTTTTGTATGTTTCAGAAAGAATGATCTTTCATTTCTTAAATTTAAAAATAATTTAGATTGAAACTTTCTATCTTACCGGGAAGCTTTTATAATCACACAAATATTATAACATAATTTAGATAACAAATTCCAAAAGTCTTATTGTCACATAAATATTATGGCACACTTAATGTCACAAATTACAAAACTCCTTATTTCTTTCTTATTACTCTGACCAGTCAAATTGGATCACATAAAAAAATGGGGATTAGTAAATAGTATTGTATTTATTATCAAAAAGTTTATTTATCCGTAATATTTGATTTTATAGAATAAATTATTTTCAATTATTTACTGCTACTAAATAATTGTTGCTAAATTTGATTTATATGTTAAATATCCATCTTTAATTTTTTGAATTCTATATCAAGTCAAATATTTTAACACGAAATAGAAGGAAAGGAACATCATTTATGAATTGCTTGAAATAAGGAGAGCAGTCAAAGCAACACTGGAAATTAACTGAGGAGAAATTGTCGGGAAGCGTATTTTAACTTACAGATAAAAAAGTACTATAACCAAAACAAGAGAGCTGCAATACAAAAAGAAATGCAATAAAAGTCAAAATTAAATACACATCATGCGACTCCGCTGGGGATCGAACCCAGAATCTCTGGTTTCGTAGACCAGCGCCTTATCCATTGGGCCACGGAGTCAAGTTGGCACTAAAATGAAATATTACTATAATGAAGGTGAAATGGTTTACCAACAGTTGCCTAGTGACGGAACTATCTTTGGTGAATGGTTTTCAAAAGGAAACTATTTATTTTCTTCAATTTTAGTTTATCTATCTATCTATGTATCTATCTATCTATTATTATAAAAGCACAAATATAATGTCGGTCTACAAAATAACCTTAAAAATAAATTTTATATTAGACAAAATGGTCATTTACTATTTTCCTAATATTTAAGATTTTGAAATCAATTAAAATTATGTTTATAAGTCTTTCCTTATTTGATTAATATTCATTTTGGTTTTGGATTCTACGTTGAACAAAACTATACTATAAACTTAATATCATAAACTTTTGCTTTCTCCCGAAACAATATAGAGACAATAAATATTTATTGTCTGAAGTCCTCCCATCCAATAAAACTGTATTAAAACTACCCTAATTATAATTAACAAATTCTTGAGTCAACAAACGATAAAATACCATCAAATAGCTGTATTTTTTCTTCAAAAGATAATTCCGTATCGGAAAAATTAATTATATTTTGCTACAATATATGCTAGATAAAATTATAATCACCATTAATAATTTAAAATTTAGATGCATCGATAGTTATTATAACATCTGTTATAAATTAAGAAAAAATAAGTCCTATTTCCTTCTAATAGGAAGTTTCTTTTGAAGTTAAAGACTGCCCAGAAAATCTACTTCTTCGGAAAGAAAAAACTCCTTAATCTTAATTTGAAATTATTTTATTAATTTTTGCAATCAAAAAAATTGATAAAGTATTTTTAATACAATAACAGTAATAACTATGCCTCGGTCCAAAATAAAAATGAGCTAAACAACTTTAAATTATATATTAGTTATATACAACCAAACAACTTTAAGTTATATACTGATTATATACAATCAACTAAATAAATATTTTCAACCAAAGAAGTAATAGTTTTCACAATATTTATGCAAGTTATACAAATTTAAAATTATTCCTTTAATCTTGGTAATAATACTTGGAAACTGAAAGTTCTAGACTGAATAATAGAGGAAATGAGAATATATGTCAAAATTTGTTGCATTAATAAGAAGTGAAAGAGTGTGACGACCCGGGCGGTCGTCTTAAGAATTAACACCCCGATTCCTTATTAACTGCTTTTCCCAAGTTTATTTATGCTATTTTGAGTTGCCGGGATATTCGGTTTTGAGTTTTCGGAGAATTTTGGGACACTTAGTCCCTAAATAAGAGCTTAAGTGTTGGAGAGTTGACCGTAGTCGGAACAATGTGAAAACGACATCGGAATGGAAATCTGATGGTTCTGTTAGCTTCGTTGGGTGATTTAGGGCATAGGGGCGTGTTCGGATTGTGTTTTGGAGGTCCGTAGCTAATTTACGCTTGAAATGCCGAAAGTTGAATTTTTGAAATTTCCGGTCTGATAGTGAGATTTTGATCCGAGGGTCGGAATGGAATTCTGGAAGTTGGAGTAGCTCCGTAAGGGTGAATGTGACGTGTGTGCAAAATTTCAGGTCATTCAGACGAGGTTTGATAGATTTTTTGATCGAAAGCATATTTTGAGAATTTTGGAGTTCTTAGGCACAAATCCATGGTTAATTCGAGGTTTCGATGTTGTTTTAAGTGTTTTAAGGATTGGTATAAGTTTCGATAGTGGTTTGTGACTTGTTGGTGCCTTTGGTTGAGGTTCCGGGGGCCTCAGAATGAATTCAGATGGTTGACTGAAAGATTTTGGAATTAAAGTTGCAGCTTCAGTTGCTGGTTCTGTCATAACCGCACCTGCGGTTTGGGTTCCGCAGGTGCGGCACCGCAGAAGCGGCTAAGTGGCCGCATAAACAGAATTTGGCCACCTCTTCAGGAACCGCAGATGCGGGTAGTTCACCGCAGAAGCGGTACCGCACCTGCGGAAGGGTAACCGCAGATGCGGAAATGGGCCTTTAAGTGAAAGTCATAGATGCGACCTAGTCTCTGCAGACAAATGCGGAAATCGTTGGGCAGAACATATAAATTCTTGCCTTCGCGAAATTTAGCCATTTTCATCTTTTTCAAAACGGGAAGAAGCTTAGGGAGCACTTTTCAAGAGGGATTTTCAGAGGAGTTCATTGTGTAAGGTTTTTGGTCCCTAAACTCGTTATTGGAATAATTTTTATCATTTTAAGCATGAACAATTGAGAAAAATCAGTGGTAATTGGGGGGTTAGGGCTTGACTAATTGGAGGCTTTTGAGTGATGATTTGAGAGACCATTTAAGGTTCGATTTTGATGCTTTTGGTATGAATGAACTCGTGAGAGTGTAAGGATTCTGGAAACATAAATTTTACCCAATTTCGAGACGTGGGCCCGAGGGACGTTTTGGTCATTTTACATAATTTCGCGTATTAACTTAGAGTTTCATTGTAGAATCAGTTGCTTGAAGTGTTATTTACATTATGAAATTGAATTGAATAGATTTGGGCCATTCAGAGTCGAGTACTCGTGGAAAGAATGTGGTTTCGGGTTGATTTTGAGCTGGTTCGAGGTAAGTGGCTTGTCTAACATTGTATGGGGGCCCTTCTCCTTATGATATGATATATTTGATAATTGATTTGCCTTGTACGTGAGGTGACGAGTGCGTACTTGAGCTAATTGTTGAAAATTCGGTTTTACTTTAAGTATTTCAATTGAGTTCCTTTTTTCTGCTTTATTCTACTTGTGAATTTAGCATGTTGTTAGTTTAGAAAAGCATGTTTAGCTGACTTAATTGCCTATTTGCTTAAATTGCCTTAATTGCATTACGTGAAGCATGTTAGGCTAGAATTAACTGTGTACTTGGTACGAAATTAGCATTTAAATTGAGCATTCTTGTGTTGCTTCTGTGTGTTTTTAATTTGGGACTACAGGACGGCATCTCGGGAGATCCCCTATACATATTTATGATCTGGACTGAGGTCGCCGAAAAATATTATATATATAGGTAAAATATATAGATTTTAATGGTGTATAATGTATATTGAACACCCTTTATCGGGGATTTTCTTTACTTATTTCAAGTTTGAATACCCTAAATGAAATTCCTGGTTTCGCCACTGGTTTGATCTAATTTTTTAGTTTCTCGGTATAGTATTTGATTTTCAATTTTGCAAATCAGGTCGTTTCAGTATGTTGTCCTAATATCTTATATTTTGTGATCCCAAATATCTAAAAAAGTATTCCAAAGAGCTTTTCTCGATTCAATTTGTACTGAAATTCTTTGAATAAAAAGAGTTACCACAACGAAGCGTTTGATCGGCAGAATAAATAGAAGAAAATATACAGAAAGCACATACATGCGCGAAGAGATCAAATTGCAACATTGCTCAATTTGAATATTCCTACAATAGACAGATGATATCTATA